TGGAGCAGGGGGGGGGGGGGGAGGGAAGGGGGGGAGAGGGTGAGGCAGGAGGTGGAGGAGGAGCAAGGACAATAGGAGGAGGGAGCAACAACACGAGGAGCACGCAGGAATAAGGAAGAGGAATGAGAGGAGCGTAGGAGGGAGAATGAGGAAGAGGAGAGGAGGAGGCGGAGGAGGAGGAGGAGGAGGAGGAGCAGCAGCGTGGGGCTGCTGGCCCCCCCGGCGTGGAGCGCGAAGGCGCCGCAGCCAGCCGCCTCGCGGCCCAAGTAAGGGGGCCGAGCTGCTCTTCAGCGGGTCGGCGCGGGGCAGCGCGGACATCAAGCCGCGGCCAGCGCGTGTGTCCACGGCGCGGGGCGCGAGGGGGGAGAGGGCGGAGCAGGAGGTGGAGGAGGAGCAGGACCAGGAGGAGAGCACGCAGGAATAGGAAGAGGAAGGAAGGAGGAGGAGGAGAGGGAGGAGAGGGAGGAGTGAGGAGAAGGAGGGACGGAGAGGAGAGAGGAGGAGGGTAGGCGGGGGAGGCGGAAAGGAAGTGGTAGGAGGAGGAGGAGAGGGGCTGAGGAGGAGAGGAGGAGAGAGGAGGAAAGGGAGGGAAGGAGGGGGAGGGAGGGGAGGAGGAGGAGGATGGAGGAGGATGAGAAGGGAGGAGGGGGAGGAGGAGGAGGGAGGAGGAGGAGGAAGCGGAAGGAGGAAAGGAGGAGGAGGGGGAGGGAGAGGGGGAGAGGAGAGGAGGAGGAGGAGGAGGAGGGAGGCTGAGGAGGACGGCAGGAGGAGGCCTGCTAGGACTTGCGGCGGCGTGTGGAGGAAACCGGTGGTTGGGGCTTGACTTTGGGGGGGTGGGGGAGGTGTGGGCGCCCACCCGGCGCCCCGCGGCCGGTGTGACACACGCGCCGGCCGCGGCGTGATGTCCGCGCAGCCCCGCGCCGACCCGCTGAAGGGCAGCTCGGCCCCCTTACCCGGGCCGCGAAGGGCGTGCTGGCTGCGGCGCCCTTCCGCGCTCCACGGGCCGGGGGGCCCAGCATCCCCATCGCGCTGCTCCCCTCCTCCTCCTCCTCCTCCTCCTCCTCCCTCCCCCCATCCCTCCCGTCCGTCCTCCCTCCTCCTCATTTTCCTCTCCTTTTCCTCCTTTTCCTCCTCCTCCTCCTACTTCCTCTTCCTCCTCCTCCTCCTCCTCCTCCTCCTCCTCCTCCTCCTCCTCCTACTCCTCAGTGCAGCATCGCGGAACATCACGACTGGAACCCTAGACACAACTTCCTGCGGCGTTGTTCGAGCTGGGTCGATCCCTGAGGGTCCTGGGGCCCGAGACCGGACGCAGGCACCCCATATCCGACTAAAAACATGCACCGCGCCCGGGTTTTTGAAAGGATGGGCTGGCCTGGCCTCCTGGCGAAGCTCTCGGAGTTGTCGTCGATCACGTCGATCACCAGGATGAAGCTCATGGTGCCCATGGACACGATCATGGCGGCCAGAATCCGGCCCTGCATGGTGTCTGGACCGGCCCCTATGGACTGAAGCACGGGCGACGCACGGGGAGGCAAAGCCACAGTCACGGCGGGATTCGGCTCCGCTGCCCAGCCTCAGAAGAAGTACTGGTGCCGCTGCGGCTACAGTGCCCCTGCCTCGTTTTCGCTGGCGTGGAGCTCCCGGGAGGCGCTCGTTGCCACCGCTGGATTCGCCCCGACATTCTGATCAGAACGCACCCCAGGAGAGGTCCAGAAAGTAAGGCTATCGGCGGCACTTCGTGGTTTCCCTACCCCCCGCCCCCCGCTATCGAGTCCCCGTCCTCCTGCAGGGATTGCCAGATTTGTTCATGGTCTAAGGTGTCTCCAGCTAGTCGCGCCATTTTGGAAGTTCTGGGGCCCCCTGGGCATCACGATGTGTGCTCTGGAGGCCGTGGGTGTCTCTCCAGCAAGCCTGGGGAGTCCTTGGGCCGAAACCACATCTGACAACACCCGACTCCACTGTGGACGGTGCAAGAAGGGGAGAATATGAAGCAGCGGCAACGGCGGCAAGTGCAACCGACACTGTGGCTTTGGGCTACCCCGAGATGCATACATCAGCCCGCGAGTCGCGAAGAGAACGCACCATGCGAACATCATGCCAAACACGCTCTGGGAGACTGCTACCACTTTGACACGCCACGTCGCGTGAGCGTCTCCGTGACCGTTGTGATGGCTGCCCATTACAAACATCATCACGTAGGTCACTATTGCAAAACAGCAGCCCGCCAAGAGAATGCAAATAGGCGCTGGCTGTTCGTGCACCTCGTGATCGATGCCCTCTTTGTTCGGCAAGGTTCCGGTGATGACGAAGCGCAGGGCCTGTACCATCAGAAAGGAGATCGAGAGGCTCGCAATGTCGTTTTCTGCCTCCTCAACGTGCTCCTTGAACATGGTCTCTCCCTCAGACTCCACGCCGTCGGCCATAACCGCAAGGCCACGTATCCAGCCGAACAGTTGAAAGAGAAGGACAAGAAATACCGTGTTGATCACTACGGCAAGCAAGACCAACGCCGGGCTCCCGCTGAACAGGTGCATGTGCTGCAGGGTGCCGCCGGCGTTGATGGCCGCAAACCCCGTCATGTGTGCCAGCAGGGTTGCCCAACACGTCAACCATCTCTCCACCCTGTGGCGCGCCCATGGCGCCTTCTCCACGAAAACCTCCGCACCGTCATCGTGTGTGACGACGTTCTTCTTCTCGTCG